AACACAAGGAAGAAACTGCATCAACTAATGGGTAAAATAACCAGCTAGCAACATCATGACAGGATCAAATTCACACATAACAATATACACCTTAAATGTAAACAGGCTAAATGCCTCAATTAAAAGTCACAGAATGGCAAATTGGATAAAGAGTCAAGACCCATCAGTGTGCTATATTGAGGAGACCGACCTCACGTGCAAAGACACACACAGGCTCAAAATAAAGGGATGGAGAAATATTTACCAAGCAAATGGAAAGCAAAGAAAGCAGCGGTTGCAATCCTAGTGTCTGATAAAACAGGCTTTAAACCATCAAAGATGAAAAGAGACAAAGAAGGGCATTACATAATGGTAAAGGGATCAATGCAACAAGAAGAGCTAACTATCCTAAATATATATGTACCTAGTGCAGGAGCACCCAGATTCATAAAGCAAGTCCTTAGAGACCTACAAAGAGACTTAGACTCCTACACAATAATAGTGGGAGACTTTAGCACCCCACTATCAATATCAGACAGATCAACAAAGCAGAAAATTAACAAGGATATCCAGGACTTGAATCAGCTCTGGACCAAGTGGACCTAATAGACATTTACAGAACTCACCACCCCAAATCAACAGAATATACATTCTTCTGAGCACCACATCACACCTATTCTAAAATTGACTACATAATTGGAAGTAAAATACTCCTCAGCAAATGCAAAAGAATGGAAATCTTAACAGTCTCTCAGACCACAGTCAATCCAATTAGAACTCAGGATTAAGAAACTCACTGAAAACCACACAACTACATGGAAACTGAACAACCTGCTCCTCAATGACTACTGGATAAATAATGAAATGAAGGCAGAAATAAAGATGTTCTTTGAAACCAATGAGAACAAAGACACAACATACCAGAATCTCTGGGACACATTTAAAGCAGTGTGCAGAGGGAAATTTATAGCACTAAAAATGCCCAACAGAGAAAGCAAGAAAGATCTAAAATCAACATCCTAACGTCACAATTAAAAAACTAGAGAAGGCCAGGTGCAGTGGCTCATGCCTGTAATCCCAGCACTTTGGGAGGCCAAAGCAGGCACATTGCCTGAGCTCAGGAGTTCAAGACCAGGCTGGGCAACACAGTGAAACCCCATCTCTACCAAAATACAAAAAATAAGCCAGGCATGGCAGTGTGTGCCTGTAGTCCCAGCTACTTGGGAGGCTAAGGCAGGAGAATTGCAAGAACCAGGGAGGTGGAGATTGCAATGAGCTGAAAGCACACCACTGCACTCCAGCCTGGGTGACAGAGTGAGACTCTGCCTCAAAAAAAAAAAAAAAAAGAAAGAAAGAAAAAAGAGGAACTAGAGAAACAAGAAGAAACAAATTCAAAAGCCAGCAGAAGACAAGAAAAAACTAAGATCAGAGGAGAACTGAAGGAGATACAGACACAAAAAAAACCTTCGAAAAAAAGCAATAAATGCAGGAACTGGTTTTTTGGAAAGATCAACATAGATAGACTGCTAGCCAGACTAATAAAGAAGAAAAGAGAGAAGAATCAAACACATGCAATAATGATAAAAGCAGTATCATCGCTGATCCTGTAGAAATACAAACTACCATCAGAATACTATAAACACCTCTACGCAAATAAAAGATAAAATCTAGAAGAAATGGATAAATTCCTGGACACTTACACCCTCCCAAGACTAAACCAGAAAGAAGTTCAATCCCTGAACAGACCAATAACAAGGTCTGAAATTGAGGCAGCAATTAATAGCCTAGCAATCAAAAAAATGTCCAGGACCAGATGGTTTTACAGCTGAATTCTACCAGAGGTACAAAGAGGAGCTGGTGCCATTCCTTCTGAAATTATTCCAAACAACAGAAAAAGAGGGAATCCTCCCTAACTCATTTTATGAAACCAACATCATCCTGATACCAAAACCTGGCAGAGACACAACTAAAAAAGAAAATCTCAGGCCAATATCTCTGATGAACATCAATGTGAAAATCTTCAATAAAATATTGGCAAACCAAATCTAACAGCACATCAAGAAGCTTATTCATCATGATCAAGCTGGCTTCATCCCTGGAATGCAAGGCTGGTTCAACACACGCAAATCAATGAACGTAATCCATCACATAAACAGAACGAAAGACAAAAACCACATGATTGTATCAATGGGCAGAGAAGGCCTTCAACAATACTCAATAATCCCTTCATGCTAAAAACTCTCAATAAACTAGGTATTGATAGAACATATCTCAAAATAATAAGAGCTATTTATGGCAAACCCACAGCCAATATCATACTGAATGGGCAAAAGCTGGAAGCATTCCCTTTGTAAACTGACACAAGAATGCCCTCTCTCACCACTGCTATTCAACATAGTATTAGAAGTTCTGGCCAGGGCAATCAGGCAAGAGAAAGAAATAAAAGGTATTCAAATAGGTAAAGAGGAAGTCAAATTGTCTCTATATGCCAATGACATGATTGTATATTTAGAAGACTTCATCATCTCAGCCCAAAATCTCAAGCTAATAAGCCACTTCAGCAAAGTCTCAGGATACAAAATCAATGAGCAAAAATCATAAGCATTCCTACAGCATTCCTATATACCAATAACAGACAAACAGCCAAATCATGAGTGAACTCCCATTCACAATTGCTACAAAGAGAATTAAATACCTAGGAATACAACTTACAAAGGATGTGAAGGACCTCTTCAAGGAGAAGTACAAACCACTGCTCAAGGAAATAAGAGAGGACACAGATGGAAAAACATTCCATGCTCATGGCTAGGAAGAATCAGTATCATGAAAATGCCCATACTGCCCAAAGTAATCTATAGATTCAATGCTACGCCCATCAAGCTACCACTGACTTTAACAGAATTAGAAAAAAACCACCTTAAATTTCATATGGAACCAAAAAAGAGCCCACATAGCCAAGACAATTCTAAGTCAAAAAAAAAAAAAAAAAAAAAAAGCTGAGGCATAATGCTACCTGACTTCAAACTATACTACAAGGCTACAGTAATCAAAACAGCATGGTACTGATATCAAAACAGATATCTAGACCAATGGAACTGAACAGAGGCCTCAGAAATAACGCCACCCATCTACAACCATACAATCTTTGACAAACCTGACAAAAACAAGCAATGGGGAAAGGATTCCCTATTCAATAATGGTGTTGGGAAAACTGGCTAGCCATATGCAGAAAGCTGACACTGGATCCCTTCCTTACACCTTATACAAAAATTAACTCAAGATGAATTCAAGATTTAAATGTAAGACCTAAAACCATTAAAACCCTAAAAAAAACCTAGGCAATACCAGTGAGGACACAGGCATGGGCAAAGACTTCATGACTAAAATACCAAAAGCAATGGCAACAAAAGCCAAAATAGACAAATAGGATCTAATTAAACTATTGAGCTTCTGCACAGCAAAAGAAACTATCATTAGAGTGAACAGGCAACCTTGCAGTCTACCCATCTGACAAAGGGCTAATAATCCAGAATCTACAAAGAACTGAAACAAATTTACAGGATAAAAAGAAACAACCCCATCAAAAAGTGGCCAAAGGATATGAACAGACACTTCTCAAAAGGAGACATTTATGCAGCCACCAAACATATGAAAAAAACCTCATTATCACCGGTCGTTAGAGAAATGCAAATCAAAACTACATTGAGATACCATCTCATGCCAATTAGAATGACAATTATTAATAAGTCAGGAGACAACAGATGCTGGAGAGGATGTAGAGAAATAGAAACACTTTTACACTGTCGTTGGGAGTGTAAGTTCAACCATTGTGGAAGACAGTGCGGTGATTCCTCAAGGATCTAGAACTAGAAATACCATTTGACCCAGCAATACCATTACTGGGTATATACCCAAAGAATTATAAATCATTTTATTATAAAGACACATGGACATGTACGTTTACTGCAGCACTGTTCACAATAGCGAAGACTTGGAACCAACCCAAATGCCCCTCAATGACAGACTGCATAAAGAAAATGTGGCACATACACACCATGGAATGCTACGCAGCCATAAAAAAGGATGAGTACATGTCCTTTGCAGGGACATGGACGAGGCTGGAAACCATCATTCTCAGCAAACTAACACAAGAACAGAAAAACAAACGTCTCATATTCTCACTCATAAGTGGGAGTTAAACAATGAGAACACATGGACATAGGGAGGGGAACATCACACACCAGGGTCTGTCAAGGGGTGGGGAGCTAGGAGAGGAAGAGCATTAGGAGAAATATCTAATGTAGATGGCTAGGTGATAGATGCAGCCAACCACAATGGCATATGTACACCTATGTAACAAACCTGCATGTTTTACACATGTTCCCCAGAAGTTAAAGTACAATTTTAAAAAAAGATATGTACATGAATGTTCATAGAATTGCTCATAAAAGCCCCAAATTAGAAATAACCTAAATAGGCATCAAAAGTAGTATCTATTAATAAAATGGGATAATGCTATAGTTTGAATGTGTCCCCCTGAAAGCATGTGTTGGAAACAATCCCCAATACAATCCCCAATCCCCAATACAGCTGGAAGGAGGAACTTAATGGGAGGTGTTTCGGTCATGAGTGCTCCACCTTCAAGAACGGATTAATGGCATAAAAGGGCTTGAGTCTGCCAGTTCTATTGCTTGCTCTCTCTCGTGCCAGAAGATGATGCAGCATGAAGGCCCTCACCAGATGCTACCACCTTGATATTGGACTTTCCAGCTATAGAACTATGAGAAAGAAGTATATTTTCTTTATAAATTAGCCAGTCTGTGGTATTCTGCTATCGTAAAACAAAATTTCATGTGCATGATGTGATGTGCAAAATGTCATGTGATGTCATGTACAAAATGTCATGTGCATGATGTTGTACAACAGAAGCCAATTTAAGAAGCAAATCAGCAAGTAATTTAAAAAATCAGTATCCAGAATAAACATAGCTGACCCTTGAACACCAGAGGTTCGATCTGTGAGGGTCCACTTTATGTTCAGATTTTTTTCAACAAAAGTTACACAAGTATGCCTGCCTCTCCTGACTCCCCTTCCACTTCCTCCACCTCTTCTGCTTCTGTCATCCTTGAGACAGCAAGACTAATGCCTCCTCTCTCCGCGCCTCTCAGCCTCTCAGCCTACTCAATGAGAAGACGCAAAGATGAAGACCTTTATGATGATCCACTTCCACTTAATGAACAGTAAATGTATTTTCTCTTATGATTTTCTTAATAACATTTTAACAATACAGTATCTGATACATATAACATCCAAAATACGTGTTAATTGACTGTATATGTTGGTGATAGGCTACTTGTAGTTAGGTTTTGGTGGAGCCAAAAGCTATTCGTGGATTTTCCACCGTGCTGGGGGACTGGCACTCCTAACCTCTCCGTTTTTCAAGAGTTAGCTATAGGCTGGGTGCAATGGCTCACACCTGTAATCTCAGCACTTTGGGTGGCTGAGGTGGGCAGATCACAAGGTCAGGAGTTCAAGACCAGACTGGCAACATAGTTGAAACCCCATCTCTACTAAAAATACAAAAAATTAGCTAGGCATGGTGGAGGGCACCTGTGATCCTAGCTACTCAGGAGGCTGAGGTAAGAGAATCACTTGAAGCCAGGAGGTGGAGGTCACAGTGAGCTGAGATCATGACATTCCATTCCAGCCCAGGAGACAGTGTGAGATTGTCTCAGGAGAAGAGAGAAAAAAAAAAAAAAGTCAGCTATAATTGGATACTGCATCTTTTCTATGCATTGTAGCAGCTCCAAAAGCCAAAAATTGTACAACAATTTTGTTTCCTCAGGGGAATTTTATTATCCAATAGCTGCTTATTATTTCCTGATCATTATCTTTTAGGAAGAGTTTCATAGTTCTTATCTCTGAAAATAATTGAAATATTTTATTTCAGTATATTTGTCACATTTGACTTTTGACCAGAATTTTCATCAAATTATTTGTAATAATTTATCATTCAACCTTTGCAGAAATAACAAAGAAACAAAGCAAATACATAGTTTGATTTCTCAGGTATCTAATGTCATGATTCAAAAATATGGGATATAATAAAAGTCTTAATACTAATCAGTCCTTATTTCCTTCCCAGCTTGCAGTTTTTTTTTTGTTTTTTTTTTTTTTTTTGAGACGGAGTTTCGCTCTTGTTACCCAGGCTGGAGTGCAATGGCGCGATCTCGGCTCACCGCAACCTCCGCCTCCTGGGTTCAGGCAATTCTCCTGCCTCAGCCTCCTGAGTAGCTGGGATTACAGGCACGTGCCACCATGCCCAGCTAATTTTTTGTATTTTTAGTAGAGACGGGGTTTCACCATGTTGACCAGGATGGTCTCGATCTCTTGACCTCGTGATCCACCCGCCTCGGCCTCCCAAAGTGCTGGGATTACAGGCTTGAGCCACCGCGCCCGGCCTTGTTTTTTTTTTAAGATGAAGTCTCACTCTGTCGCCAAGGCTGGAGTGCAGTGGTGCCATCTTGGCTCACTGAAATCTCCACCTCCCAGGTTCAAGTGATTCTCCTGCATCAGCCTCTAGAGTAGCTAGGATTACAGGTGTGAGCCATCGCACCTGGCCCAACTTGCGGTCTTGAATGTTAAAGTATCTATCAATTATGAACATTTAAACTTCTGCATATTTACTATTTTTCAAGAATGCCAGAAGTCACTGTGCAAAATAATTCTAGGGGCAAAGTAAATAAAATGGTGAATCTAAGAAGCACTTAGATATAGTATCACAAAAATCTTCAAGTCAGTATTATTGGAATTAATGTGGAAATTTCTAATTCTAGGCAGAGTGTGTTTGGTGGCCTGTAGTACATAGCAATCTTCCCTTAGCCAAGCTTTTGCTTTCTGATGTTTCAGTTACCCATGGTCAACTGCAGTCTGAAAATATTAAGACATTTTGAGACAAGAGAGAGCTATAATACTCACATAACTTTTATTACAGTATATTGTTGCAATTGTTCTATTTTGTTATTAGGTATTGCTGTTAATCTTATTGTGCCTAATTTATAAATTGACCTTTATCATAAGGTATGAATACACACACACACACACACACACACACACACACACACACACACACACACTTTAAGGCACCCATTGGGATTTTGGAACATATCTCCTACAGATAATGGGAGACTACTACACACTAGGAACACGGTTAAGGTTCAAAAAAAGCTTGAGACAAGTTAAAAGTACCTCTTTTTTAAAAACGCTTGCCACTTATCTCAGCTTCATGCTTCACTCCCTCCCAGTTGGAGAATTTCTAGGATAGAGATGCTAGTAAAACTCATTTAAGTAATTCAGAAGAGTAGCCAAACAAATTGTACCTGTTCCAGCAGGAAGTCAGACATCAGTTATAATGGAGGCAATATATTTTTTAAACTCTTTTTCATCATCAGTAATTAAAAGTTTAAAAATCTTTTAATTGTCTATCTGTATGTATATCTGGATTAAACGTTTTCTGTCTACTGCAAAACAAACAAAAACAGGACAAAAGATTCCAGGAAGGGAAATGAAATAACTGTACTTAACCAGTTTTAGAATGAGGAATCAATATTTTCCTTCATGTTACATATGTATGAGAATCAGAAATAAGTTGTTGAATTAATTTCTGGATATATTTGAGTACAGTTTCTTTTTTGTTCTCTGCTTTTAGCAAACTGGATACATGATTTTGAATCATTTTCAGAATTAAAGTTATGTCCTATTTTATTTTAAAGTACCCATGCTTCAATAAGTGATTGCCTTCCTCTTCTTTTTTTTTTTTTTTTTTTTTTTTTGAGATGCAATCTCTTGCTTTGTTGCCCAGGCTAGAGTGCAGTGGTGTGATCTCGGCTCACTGTAACCTCTGCCCCCAGAGTTAAAGTGATTCTTGTGTTTCAGCCTCCCAAGTAGCTGGGATTACAGGTGCCCCCCACCACACCAAGATAATTTTTGCATTTTTGGTAGAGACAGGTTTCTCCATGTTGGCCAGGCTGGTTTCGAACTCATGACCTCAAGTGATTTGCCTGCCTTTGTCTCCCAAAATGGGAATATGGGTGTGAGCCATAGTACCTCGCCAATAAGCAATTGCCTTCTAATGCCAAATGAGGTAAATTGGTCCCTAAAACCTTTGGAGTTAACTTGGTAACTGGGAGAGTTAAGGAGGACTGCCATTTTATGCTATATAATCACAGCACACTTTTAGTCTAGTTACTTATTTATTGGTGTGTCATTCTGGATGATGACCAGTATTTAGAACTGGGTTGATTTCATTCAAATTTGCTATCATTTTTGCTTAAATAAGTGCTCCATACTAAAAATGTTCTTAGTCCAATTTTCCATGTCATATAATGTTCTCCTGTGGTAGTATACAAAGGCAAAAGCATATAGTAATGCACAAGAATCTTTTTTTTTTTTTTTTTTTGAGATAGGGTGTCACTCTGTTACCTAGGCTGGAGTACAGTGGCACGATCTTCACTCACTGCAACCTCTACCTCCCAGGCTCAAGTGATCCTCCCACTTCAGTCCCCCAAGAAGCTGCGACCACAGGCACGCACTACCATGCCTGGCTAATTTTTGTAATTTTTTTTAGTAGAGACAGGGGTTTCGCCACGTTGCACAGTCTGGTCTGGAACTCCTGAGCTCAAGTTATCCACCCACCTCAGCCTCCTAAAGTGTTGGGATTACAGACATGAGCCACCATGCCCAGCCAAGAAGCATTTTTAACTGAACTTCAGACTTGGTAATTTCTATTCCATGCTCCTTATTCTAAGTTATTTTTATGCTAGAACACTGAATTTAGATGACTAAGCTTATTCTTTAGCAGGCTGGAAACAAAAGTATACAAATCTAACTTTTGTTAACTATCATGTGTTGATTTATAATCACATACAGACAAGAAAACAACATGACTATATACTAATTACATAACATCTTTAGGGTTTTTCCTAGAGTCAGCTGCATTTCAAATTTTATAATAGTAATGTTGTGCTAATATACCATTTATAAATAAATATACATATATTGGTAATGTACACTCCCAAATGTTTCATAACCACTGCATTAAATCATCTTTGTAAAGCCTGATACACTGACTCCTATATTGTTCATTGCAGTAGCCTTTTTTATTACCTAGTTTCCCCTCACAGGAAGCAGCGTTACTAAAATCTTGAATCCCTAGCACACCTGAATGTTTTTATTTTGCTTCCCAGATGATATCAAACTCCTAGGCAAGCTATTCTCGGTCCACATACCACTGATGCACTTCCTCTTAATCCTTCAATCATTCTCTACTTCAACTATTGCCACAATCTCTTCAGCTCATTCAGACAATGTATTCATTCTTTCAAACACAGACGAAACAGAATTTAAAATGTAATAACCTAAACAGGCATACCTCAGAGATATTGTGAGTTCAGTTCCAGAGGACTATAATAAAGCAAATATCACAATAAAGCAAGTCATACAAATTTTTTGGTTCACCAGTGCATATAAAAGTGATGTTTATACTACATTATAGACTACTAAGTATATAATACTATTATGTCTAAGGAAATCACTGAACATACCTTAATTTTAAAATAATTTATTACTAAAAAATGCTAAAGAACATCTGAGTCTTCAGTAAGTCGTAACCTTTTTTCTGGTGTAGGGTCTTGCCTCAATGTTGATGGCTACTGACTGATCAGGGTGGTGGTGGTGGTTGCTGAAAGTTAGGGAGGCCATGGTAATTTCTTAAAATAAGACAACAAATGAAGTTTGCTGCACTGACTGACACTTCCATTCATGAAAGATTTCTCTGTAGTACCTGATGCTGTTTGATAGCACTTTACCCACAAAACTGCTTTCAAAATTGGAATCAATATTCTCAAACCCTGCTGCTGTTATCAATTAAGTTTGTAGAACATTCTAAATCCTTTGTTGTCACTTCAATAATGTTCACAGCATCTTCATCAATAGATTCCATATCAAGAAATCACTTTCTGACCAGGCACAGTGGCTCACGCCTGTAATCCCAACACTTTGGGAGGCTGAGGTTGGGCGGATCACCTGAGGTCAGGAGTTTGAGACCAGCCTGACCAACATGGAGAAACCCCATCTCTACTAAAAATACAAAATCAGCTGGGTGTGGTGACACATGCCTGTAATCTCAGCTACTTGGGAGGCTGAGGCAAGAGAATCACTTGAACCCGAGAGGCAGAGGTTG